TTCCATATGTTCTCGTCCCTGGCGAGGGAGATGGGTCAGCAGCACGAGCCTTACTGGTACTGAGATCGTTTCAACCACCTGGACAAAAGAGCTCCATGATGTATTAAGCAGAAAACAGGACTGTGCTTAGAGATAACTCTTGTGCGGACCAGCAGTTGACATAATGGCTATGTCATTAGACTCCCATGTAGTCAACCATGGTTCGAGTCCCGGACCCAGTGGCTTAAACTGACACCAGGCACATGTGCATGCGTGCCCTAGATCCCGAGAGGAGAATGGAGGAGAAGGGATTGCTGCATGGCCATCCCCCCGGGGGGTGATTTCTTGCTTTCTATCTCTTTGTCTCTCTGTCTTTCTGCCGAGCACACACACCCTGTAGCAAAAACCTCTCCAAAAAAAATTAGAAATAACTCTTGTGAAACAAAGAGAGAGACATGCATGTGTATTTTTATTTGCTTGCATTGGCAGAAACATATGATTAATGCAAGACCACGTGAGAACATGGAGAAGCGGATGTTAGCTATGGGTGTGGAGAGAGGTAGGAGAACAGGTGAGGAGGAGACTGTCCATGTACACTTACATGAAACATTTTAGCTTCTGAACCCCAAATAAATCACACATGCATGTGTGTATATGTACATGCAGTGAATGTGTGTGTGTACACTGTGACTAGAATCTCAATGATCCTTTTGGCAACTCAAATGCAGTGTATGTCCCAGCTGTGTATGTCCCAGGGCCTGCTCCCACCTCCTGCTCTCTGCGTGGCCAGAAGCATTTGAGTCAGCACTGTCCAGTCTCCCTCTTCACACTGTTCATGGATTGATCAGCATAGCACCCATCAATCTTCCAGCTCAAGTATGCCCCTGGTCCCAGAGAACCCCTCCCTCAATGCCTTTCTCATGGACAGGCATCATGCCGGCCTGCTCCAAGCTATAGCATCCTCAGGTGTAGGAGAGGCCCTAGACAGGGTGGGGCTGCCTGACCTATAGTAGGAAAAGTCCCAGCCTTCCCATGGTGGGTCTAGGGAGGACAGACTCAAGGCAAAAACAACCCCCATTGCTATCCTTCCTCCTGGGAATGCCCCACTGCCCATCAAATCCCAGGAGCCAGCAGCCTAACCTCACACTAGGCTCCCTGCTCTCTCTCCCTCTCTCTCGTGCTATCTGCTCCCTTCATCTCCCACGCATCTAATTAAATACCTACTCTGTCAATTCTACCACCCAAATGACTCTCAAAATCGCCCATGACAGGGGACCCAGGAGAGATTATTTTTTATCTTCTTCATCAAGAGGTGAGGGATGTTGATGCTTCTGAAGAAACAGGTGTAATCTTAGCTTGATGCCTTTGGGTGAACAGTTGCAGATAGGAAAGGACATTGGTTCTAAGTCAACACTGGTTCTGAACCATGCCTGGTTCAGCCCCGGGGATCTGGAGCAGCTGGGAAGTAACAGCCCATTTGAAAGAGCTGGCAGCTTGGAGACACACAAGAGGCATGAAGCAGGGGTGCTCGTGGCTGCGCTTGGTTCCAGGATGGGCTGAGGTCGCCCTGCCAGATAGGACTCCTTGGCACTGAGCCCCCTCAGGGAGAGCAAAACATGAAGCAGAGCCGCAGCTGTCTTCGTGTGGAAGGCACATCTTCAGTGGTGACATCCTGTGGCAGAAAGAAGCAACTGTTGTGAAACGCTTCTCAGCTTCTGCAGCCCTGCGTGTCAGGGCAACATGAGAATAGCCACCACCGAACCAGCCCATGGCTTGGCTGTTAAGGCAGCTGGATCCCACATTGCTGATCTAGCAGTTCAAGTCCCAGACCTGCCGCTTGAAAAAACATGCTGGGTGCATGTACACGTGTACCCAAAATGCCAAAAGGAGGGAGAAATGATAGGGAAGGGACTGTGGCGTGCCATGACAATACCCCCGTGGGAAGTACTGTCTCACTTTCCCTTTACTCTCTGTCTCTCTTCAGTGGGTACATGTGCTTTCTGGAAAATTTAAAAAAATTAAATAAGTGTATAATACTTGTCCTTTGGGGCTGTGCAAGTCTCCTGTGGTTTTAGGACAATTTGGGAGGAGTGAGAGCCCCAGGAGAAAGAAACTTCACTTCCTGCAGATTGAAGAAAACAGACTGAGGCAGCATGCCTGGCCTCGTGGTCTGGCTTTGCCCTCTACTGTCTGTCCTGGAAGATTCGACTTGGCCTAATTGTAACTCAGTCTCCCTTCCTCTAAAATGAGGATGATAATAAGATATACCTTCCAGGTTTGTTGTAAAGCTTAAATGGATTAAAGTTTATATGGTTGATTTAAATGGGTTAAAATTCAGAACAGTGACTCATGCCCAGTAAGGGTTATGCACATGTGAGCCACTGCCATTTAAGTGCTGAAGTGAGTTAGAGAAATAGAAGTGCTTGTGCCAAGTTTATGGGTTGTACTTTCCTCTCTGTCCACTCCCTGAGCTACCACCGTGGCCCAGGATGTCCTGGTTCTTATCTGAAATAGCTGAATTTCTTTTTTTTCTTTAAGATTTTTACCATAAGGTGCATGCACTCACTGGAGAGAGACAGAGAGATAGTGAGAAGGAAAGTGAGAATTCACCCCTCGGGGGGGTGGCGGTGCTGCAATCTCTTCTTCTTCATTCTCTCCCAGGATTTTGGGCATGCATGCACACGTGCCCAGTGTGATTTTCAAGCCACCTGGTCCAGGATTTGAACCGCAGTTGGTCACGTGGGAGTTCAGCACCTTAACCGCTGCACTGCCTGCTGGCCCCATGAAGAAGCTGAATGTCTTAGCTGGTCTTCCATTTTCAGTTTTGTCCCCCTCACCTGTATGCACTATGTTGATTTTTTTACAAACGCAGTTTCATTCCTATCTTCCTCCTAAGATCCTTCAGGAGTGATTCTGGACGTTCAGAATAAGCTCCACCATGAGGCCCTGCCATCAGAGTCACCTGAGCCCTGCTCACCGCTCCTGCACTCACTGGAGAGAAACAGAGAGACAGTGAGAAGCTGCTCCTAGTTCCCGGGAGGCCCCAGGAGGCCTAGCATGTCTAGGGACTCACCTCGCACACCTTTGTCTCCGTGTCACTTCCTGCACGGAACCTCCGACCGGCCTCAGAATCCATCCTCCCAGAGCTGCCTCTGAGCCTCCCACGTACTCAGAACTTTGCCGTGCAATTATTGATATAAAAATGTATTTCCCACACTAGGCTGATAAATCTTTGAATGCAGTCCTTTAATTTTCTTTATCCAACCCTCTGCACATGAGTATCTGGAACATGTTGATGTTCGATGCATTTTAAACATTTATTTGAATAGATCTGGGTTTGATTTTCTTCTCATGTATTGTCTTGTCTTGCCTGCCAACAAAACATCAAAAGTTTGCCCTAAACTTCTTTGCATTTATGCTAGTTGTTCAGTGGCTGTGTTTATTTTGACTTGCTGATGAAATGTGAGCCACTGATGGAGCAGTTCACCTAAGAGCGGGCCCACTTGGCAGAAGGGATGAGGGTGGGTGTTAAGAGGAGGGCAACGCCTTGTGCTTTGAGATGGGTTTTCAACAAGAATATTTCTTCAGTGGCATAGCAGTGCAGCCAGAGGCCAGGTGTCTATTCCACTCCATTTCCCTACCAGTGCTCTACTGGGCCACAGGTGACAGAGGCTGCAGGGACAGCAGCGTGGAGTTCCTAAAGCACTATTTGGAACACTTTATGAAGGCCCTCCTTGCAGCCTCACTGCTGCCCTGCGACAACCCTGCTGTGAGGACACCGGGGCGAAGTGGACCGCATGCACTCAGTGAGCAGAGCCAAGCCGCCACATGGGCAGGTAGTCCCTGCTGTTACCACCACATCTGATGTGGGCTTCGTTTTCATTTTCTGTGTGGTTTATATTTACCAATTAAATATTTATGTCTCACTAAATATTTACTTGCTTGTCTTACTATCAGTATCCAGCACACAGGATTGCTCGTCCATTGTGGACAGTGATGACCTTGTGATTCTTTGTCCTGAGGGCTGCCCCAGGCATTGCAGGACACTCCACAGCACCTATGACCTCTCCCCACGAGGAGCCAGTGTCACCCTCCCCCATGGTGTGATGACCAGAATGTTCTCTAGACACCAACAAAGTCTTGGGGGGGAGGGGGCAACATTGACCCCAGCTGAGAAGCACGAAACTAGAGAGTAGATTGAGGGCCCGTTTTGTAGTGAATGATAATAAATGTAAATCCAACTTCAAATAAAATTATTGATTTTTTAATAGGTCAATATTTGTTAGATATGATTAGATCAGTTTTGTTTTTCAATGATGCTTGGGCCAGCAGTGGATTTCTGGGGAAAAGTGCTTGTTTGAATTTTTCTTCTTATTCAGTAGTGTTTTATTATATGTATATCCATTGCTAATCTTTGCATGTGTGTGTGTGTGTGTGTGTGTTTGTGTGTGTGTTGTATGTCATGGTTTTCAGTGTTCTTTTAAAAACATCTGTTCAATTTGTCAGGATTAGTTTAATTGAAATACTCAGTTGTCTTATATTCAGTTAGCTAGGCACAGAAAGAAAAAGGAAGGAAGGAAGAAAAAAGGCAAGAAAGAGAGAGAGAAAGAAGAAAGAGAGAAAGGAAGCAAGAAAGAAGAAAGAGAAAAGAAAGAAACTATATGTCCCATTAGGCTGGAGGAAGGGAACCTCTGTCAAGTCCTGGACACCATGTGGTCCTCAAAAGCATGGCTCAAAGTCAGGCAGGACAGGTACCAACCAAAATACGAACTGAGTTAGGGTACCACTGTCAAGCCCTGCAGTAAACCTTAGTGAAGCGAAATGGTTTTCCTTTTAAAGATGAAGGTCACTATAAATGGACAGCTCAGTACATCCTGGCCACGCATCCTCAAATGTGGGAGATGTTGCACCTGCCTTCCACTGCATCCTGAAGACCAGCAGTGTTTTCATGGAATGCACACGGACCTTGAAATCCAAGGGACCAGCTTGACCCCAACTGCAGCCGCTCTATCTCTGTGCATGACAAATAATCCTCTGACATCGGTCTCCCCATTGCAGGTTTTCACGAGAACTAGCTGTGGAAGGTGTCCTGGCAAGTTTTCCATCCTGGCATCCTTTCTTTTTCAGCTGTGCAGCCACCTGTGTTGGGCAGCCTGCCCTGTAGCTAGGTGGGACCACGTGACTGAGTCCTCACCAAAGTCAAAGCCAAAGCCAAGTGGGCAGAAGCCATGTGCCACTCTGTGTAAGGCGACAGTGGGCACTGTTGTCTCTCTCTATTGTGCAACTGAAAATAAGAAAAGAAATAAACTACAAAAAAAGTTATTTTTTAAATGTCAGGGGGTGTGCTTATGCGTGTGGGGGTGGAGAGCAAACACATTCTCCCGCAGGTCTGGCTATGCCACAGTCCTTTTTCCTCCAAGTTCTCATCCCGTCAGGATCCTGTGCACATGGTGCACCTGGCATGTTTTTCAGGCCTCCAAGGCCAGGACTTTGACCTTCATCAGTCGTGTGGGATCTGGTGCCTGTGTATCACCTAACTGCTGCACTATGGAGCTGGCCCCTAAATGGCAGACTTTGGGGCAGCTCTGGGGACGGGGCAATAATGTAAGGGAGGACCCACAAGAGAAGGTCCTGCGTCCACAGCCCAGGATCTCTCTGGAGTGCACCTGCAATCTGGGCTGGCTGAGGCTGGGGCAGAGCGTGGTGTGAGGCCCTGGTGGGGATGCCGGTTGCAGGGTCTTCTACTCTGAAAAGTCCCAATGAAGACTTAGATAACGAATGGCTGAGAGAATTGTGAACACATAATTTATGTCTGTTTATCACGCATCACGATGCCCATCTCTTTACTGCTGAGAAAAGCTTGATTCACTATTGAAAATAAAAAAGATACACTGGTGGGAGCCAGCAGTTAGCGTAATGGCTATGTCGCTGGACTCCCACGTAGTCGACCGTGGTTCGCGTCCCAGACCCGGTGGCTTAAACTCACGCCGGGCGCGTGTGCGTGCGTGCCCAAGATCCCGAGAGGAGAATGGAGGAGAAGGGATTGCGGCGTGACCAT